TTATAGCACTCAGTCGGAGTTTTTTTTAATTTAACGAGAAATTTCACATTGATCCGTTGCTCGTGTTTTTCGTCACACATTGTTATCGGCACGAGAAAAAAACAAGTTCGTTTCTAACCTCTATAGAAAAAATACTACTACTGCGACAAAAACGTGTTTTCGTACTGGAATAGTAGACACTTCCAGCTATCCAACGCTGCATTCGTTTCCCACCCTACCCCTCTAGGACGCCTTCTACGCGCGCAGTCTCGTTATTTAATAGCCAGACCTCGTACACCATTTACACAGCCATTTACACTGTTTCCAGCGAGTTTTATGTGCGTTAGAGCCATCAGAGATGAGTGGTCTGTTTATTGGTCACTTTATTTGGCGAGTTATTTAGATTGAGAAGAAGAAGTGAGTGGCGAGTGAATTGCAGTGGATATTATATATTCTTTTAATGAAATAATAGTCATTATAATCTAATCTATTTGTAATCTTTTTTAGATGAACTACAATGTCTGGGTGTGTAGTAGATTACTGCACAAATTTTAAAAAAAGGTGTCATTTTCCACGAAACCCAGAAAGAAGAAAAATTTGGGCTAAAAACATAAGACGACGAGACTGGATTCTGTCTGATAATTCGACGTTACGTGAGGTTAGTAAGAATTTGCTTTTATGATTTTTTAATATAAATAAATTATTAAATGATGTATATTATTTCAGGTATATTTTGATGCCAATTTGCGCACAAAATGTTTCACAGAAGAAACATTATTTTATGTCAATCCTTCAACGTTTCAGTTTTTTAAAAGCATGGAATCAATAATTAAATAAAATTTGGAAGTTCTTTTAATTCAAAACAATATCACAAAATTTTTATGCAAGAGATTCCAAAACCTTCTGCATTTGCTGCTAAATTGTCACGATCTCAAAAATAAAATAATTAAACAATATTGCACATTTCATTCGAAAACGCTTTCTGTGATAATCCGCGATAACAAATCCAATTTGTTGTGCCGCAAGTTCACGGCACGGTTCGCGGATCCACAGAGGACTTCGGGAGATGACAAGAAACAGCTTTGTAGTTTGGAGTAGAAATATATTTAGCAGTTTTACACATATCATCATTGGTTCTTTTATTATAATTCCATTTAGCACTATTCGCATCGCAGTAGATACAGCTACAATTTCGATGAGGCAACGGGCAAAGTAACGCGATAAAATTTCAAATTACTGATTGACGACCGCATTCACAGTCGTACTTATATATCTTGATTTCCGCGGCAAGCCTTGGCTCTTCCGCGTTGGCCCATCAGCATTCCGCTTATCCTACGAGACCAGTTTACAAACGTCTTGCGTTCGCGTTTCTACTGTTTATACTCAGGGTCTTCTTTTATATTAATTATATTTAATAAATTCCTTTCGGCAAACTCGGTTTAACTTTTGATTGTTGATATTTTCTGGCACGTTCTTGGTGCAATTGTCATTTGTGTTATTCATTTGCAATTAGCATTCGTGACATTCCTCCTCCCTTGAAACAAGGAAATAAGATTACGAGTTTCCTTAACTCGCTTTATTACAATACAAAATTTTTTTCGATTTATAATCGTTTCTTAATATATAATATGACGTCATCGCTACGCCTTTTTATTTCTGCGTCTTCCCGCTTTTGTCTCCACTTATTGACTACATATAACATGATACATACAATATTAATTATAATTAAAATAATAATACCTGTTCCTACGGAATACATTATATATTTATTGTTGAATACATGATTTCGTTACTCTTTCCTAAATATTCCTCAATATCTCTTATGTCTAAACTTAATTTAGTTAGTTCTTTAGGATCTTTAATTAATTGTTTAAGGAGAGTACGTTTTGGAAGGTCGATTTTAACATATAATTCCTTTTCGAAATTATACGTTAAGTTATATTCAGGTAGATATGCTTTAATATAATGCGCGTTTTGTGATGATTGTGTTCGTAATGTTAAATCCGGTGTAAATAGTTTATAATCTCCGTTTAATTTAATTCTTCCCGTTTTCTTAATTTCTATTTCGCTTTCAAAATTATTACAAACAATCGAAATTTTTTGACTTTCCTTGGTGGAATATAACTACGTTTGAGCTTCCATCACGTTAGCGCAATCTCACCGACGAGATACTATTAAAGACCGTCAACCCTGGGCAAATTTTCGGCGGTATAAAAAGGGGTATCCGGAGATAATTGAAAAAAGCTTATCGACAATTGATATAATTTTTGCCATTATTAACATAAATATTTGGCTTATACATTATTAAATTCATGATTTTTTATTACATAAATGTTCCATAAATAAATATGCATACTTATAAAGCTGTAATATCCTATATATTGTAGAAAAATTACAATTTTTTTCTTTGCAGTTATCATCTCTGTTGATAATCAAACTTCGATAATAACACTGAAATCACAATTTTAAAGAAAAATCGAGTATTATTCAGTTCTAAATGCATAAATACGTCTATTAAACTAATAAATCGTAAAATAAATACAATATTATCAGTTTTTAATTCTTAATCATTTCAATATTTACAAGGACGCGAACTCCTATAAAGATGTCGATCTTTAATAGTATCTTGTCGGTGGCGTAATCCACAAAGTGGTACTAGATAAGACGTGTTCATTTTCGTAGTTTTGGAATTGTCCTGGCACGTTTATAAATATTAGTACTTCGCATTGCGCGTCGGATTTAATGTAATATATTATACATATTGTTATGTCCAAACTCTTAAAAATTTGGTCAAGGAGAGGAGAATGGAGAGGGTATAGAAGGACGGTTAGACTCAATCTCACAGGTATACGCGCAGAGGCGAACACCTGTGAGTCATACGTACCTTTTTGGTCCTGGAATATGGGTTCCGAAAGAACAGTGCGAACGTCGGTCCTACTTTTTGGGTCAAGGAACTTAATCCTTTTGACCCGGGACTGGACCTCGTGCGATCTCAAATATTAGAGGGAAATAAATGCGAGTGGTAATTTAAAATAAATAGAAGCTGGCATCTTCATTTCTAATATAAACTTACATTTATTTAAGCAAAATATTATTATTAGATTTATACAGAACATATGTATATATATACGAGTATATATATATATATATATATATATATATATATATATA